AATATTAATATTTCTTTTTTAATTACAGACTGAAAATATTTATGTTTGCTAATTTTGCTAATACTAGGTAAGTAAAAGTATATTTACTGACCTTTATAAAGACGTGGATGAAAGCAGGATAAACTGCATAGTGAAAGAAAGAACAATAACTCGAGCATGTTATGTGCAAAATTCAATGTATTAGTTTGGGGAAAAAGAAATCCATTATTTTTTCGGTAGATGACTGCACTGATAGATTTCTCGTAAAGTATCGATCAAACAATTTCATATTTATGCTCGTTGGAAAGGTGACATTTCGCAGTAAAAAAAATTCTCTTGCTGTTTTTTGTTAGGTGCATTCAGTTTTCAGTTACAGCGTGTTAAAAATGGAAGTGAACAAAGAGAAAATTCGGTACATTTTACAGTTTTTCTTTGACAAAGGCGAAAATGCCAGCCAGGCGGCTAAAATTATGTGCAATTTTGGTTTCGTAGATTCCGTTCAGGAATTTTTGATGTTAAAAATGCACCTCGCACAGGTAGGCCGGTCGTCGAAAATGTCGATAAAATCGGAGAAATGATCGAAGTTGACCGGCATGTTAGCAGTCGTAACATCGCCCAGGAGTTAAAAATCGACCATAAAACAGTTTTAAACCATTTACACAAAGCTGGATTCAAAGAGAAGCTCGATGTTTCGGTGCCACACCAATTAACAGAAAAAAACATGATGGATCGAATTTCCATCTGCGAAGCCTTGGCCAAACGGAATGAGGTAGACCCATTTCTTAAACAGATGGTGACTGGAGATGAGAAATGGATCACATACGATAACCCTGTGCGAAAACGATCGTGGTCAAAGAGCGGTGAAGCACCTCAAACGGTGGTCAAACCAGGACTAACGGCCAGGAAGGTTTTGCTATGCATTTGGTGGGACTGGAAGGAGATTATTTATTATGAGCTGCTTCCATATGGCCAAACGCTAAATTCTAATCTCTACTGTCAACAACTGGACCGTTTGAAGATAGCGATTGACCAGAAACGGCCAGAATTGGCTAACAGGAGAGGTGTCGTGTTCCACCAGGACAACGCTAGGCCACACACATCTACAGTGACTCGCCAGAAACTTCGGGAACTTGGCACCAAGCGATTATCATCTTTTTCTTGCATTGCAAAATTTCTTTAATGATAAAAAATTGGAATCTAGGGAGGATTGTGAAAATCGACTACTAGAGTTTTTTGCAAATAGGGACCTGGACTTCTATGAGAGAAACATTTTGAAGTTACCTTTAAAATGGCAACCAATCATACAACAAAATGGTGCATATTTGACCCAAATCGGACAATCCGAAGCATGTTAAATAAAGTCCTGAAGTTCATATTAAAATAATGGATTTCTTTTTCCCCAAGCTAATATAACTTATGCCCGATTTTAACGCAAAAATCCGTTCATAATATAAAAGCAAAACAATTTAGGAACCCTTTTAAACCATTTAAAGTCTAAAATTTTTTTTAGAAGTTTAGCGACATAAACGGGACCTTTAGGGAAAAAAACACTACAGTATTACCCATTATTTCATGCCTCGATTGCCGGCTTCACTTGCCCATCATGTCAATGAACTGTGCGTGATAACTTGAATTTACTCTCTTATCAGCTAATTCAATATGCTATATATCTTGGGTTGGCTAATAAGTGGAATACGAATAAGTTTACGCAATGGCTTTGGCAGTGGCTACGGTTTTAGTTACTGTTTAAATTAGTCGATTATAGCGAAAATTTATCGGTACCCTGCTTATATATGCAGGTCACTAGCGATTTTCCTAAGACATAGCGATACTTTATAACCAATTTGCAAGCTATAACTGATCCATGGGAAAGCGTTACACATAACATATTTCATGTCGCTTTGAATAGTTCGAATCCTATGCCAAAGACGTGTCATATGTGGGAAGAGTTACGTTTTCTGCTCAATTCGAATGTTAGCTTTGATGAATCGTTACAGGTGATGAGCAATGGTTGGTCCAAGAGCAAATACCAATAACGTAGATATGAGCGCATCACTATCAAAGACGATAAAGCTAAGTATGTGGCATATTACCTTCAAGAGGGTTAGCTGAGCGTAGTGCTGACCACCATTGGGTACTTCTATCAATAACGATTTACACTGTCACACTTGTGCATAAAGAATAAAACGACTGCAAGGTCATATAATATTTTTTCAGCGTAACGTTGTTCGGCCTCATATTAAAAAATTCAAGCGGGAAGCGTTAACAGCAATGGTAAAGTACATTCTACGTCCCTGCTGTGCTTACGAAGCTGTTCTTCTTCTTCTGCTTTTAACTGATTACATAGTCTAATATATTTCCATGAAACATTTGAAAATTAACTAAATTGTTGGAAAATTAATGAGGTTTAATAACACATTGTTTGGAAATGTTTGGGAACCTCTGAACCTCTTTGCAAACGCTTGACTTGTCTTGAACAATTGATTAATGCTTTGACTTTGTTGCTATCAATCATTGCGAATCTCATTGACTCATTATCAAAATCATCAAAACGAAATTTGACAAACATTTGATTGATTTTCAAAGTAATAAAGTCAAAGCTCATGTATTCTCCCTAGATAAGACAAAAGTTGCATCTCGCTCATAAATTCGCCTATTATTACATAAATATTTTCTGTTTCAAAAATTAAGTAATAATATGTCCCCTATCGTCATTGCTTTTCTAACAACCTAATTTCTAATATTTTTTATGCATTTGGTTAATGCAAATTCAATAAAAAAATTTAATTTCCAATTTATTGAAAGCGTTTTCAATTGAATAAAGCAATTTATTGTATAAATATAATGAATTTAAATGAATGCATTGTTGTTATATATATTATGATATGATAAATAAAAATTATCTTTTTAAATATTATTTGACATGCAATGAGATAGGGGTGTGTCAGGGCCGATTGTTTTCGGATTATCGTTGAATGATTTATTTAAGTATAGAAATCTGTTGCGAAAATTTTGCGCCGATAATGGTTTGAATAAAAAAAATCGAATCGAATAAATTATTTCACTAATCCAAGTACATTTATTTTATAATATACCATTTTTTTGCTTATATTTCGTCTAAGACGATTTAACAATATGTGCCCGGCGACTTGTGCGATGGTCTCTCCATCTATCTACTTACTTGCCGTTCTAATTACTACATGGAACAAGTTCGAGGTAGAATGTTTAGATTATCACATATAGGCTAGACTGGCTTTTCTGCATCTAACTTGAAAATTAAGTATATATCGCTCTAAGATATATTGACAATTCTCTAAATCGTAATCAGATGCAATTTTTCTGCATACTTTTGTAACGCATTATTGTTAAGGTATTCATTGCAATATTATATAATAAATAAGCGAAAAAACATTTTTTCCTCGTTTACCACTTTCCATTAGGAATCTTACGATTACATATCACATTGCCGTAATTTACTCATCTGTTTTTGAACTAACTGTTGCTTTACAAACAATACGATGGGCATGAAAAAATTTTGATTTTGCTTAGTCTTTTCTTTATCATCGGAGGAGATATTTCAAGTTGATTTGTGTACAAAACGAGTGATGCAAATTCACTTCATATGCTTTTTATACTTATTAGCTCAAGTGCAGTAGGAAATTATAAATAAAATATTTCGGATCAAGTCAAACATAGCTCGATAACATATTGTATGCAAACACTCAAAAAGATTTATTACTAAATTCAAACGATTCAAAATAATCTTCTGAATTAATTTAGATATATATGTCCGTCCGTTAAATTGTTTTTGCTGAAGAATGAAGCCTGGAAAGTTCGAAAAAGGAATAAATCGGACCATTTCAACGACCGCTCACCCTATAGTCCTCCAGACTGCAAAAGTCGGTATAGGTAAAAAATTGTTGTAATGTTTCTCAATAAAAGTATTTGCAAAATAATATTTTGGCATATTATTTATTTTTGTTTATTTATCTATTTCAATTCAGAGTAATAAAGAAAACCTTGCCTTAAGAACAGCAATTCGAATGGAATTTTTTTTTAATTTTTAGGGACCAAATTATCAACACTAAGCAATTGCTGTAATCACTGTAAGTTATAGAATGCGTTGAGGCCTATGTATGGATTTCTAATTTTTTCTTGCTCCATATGAACTGCGTTTTTCCTATTTTCATAAATCTTTTTTTTTTTACTTTTAATTTAATTTAGTTAATTTCTATTAACATTTGCAAATTTATTATAAACAATCATTTCTAGGCTTGTAACACTAACACAAAGACAATTGACGCTTGCATAAATACGTAAATTTCAACCAATTTTCTCTTCCAAATTTGTTTATCAAATCTGCCAAAAAAAAAAAAACTGGTTTAACCGTTTTTTTTTTTTTTTATCGACAAGCATAACGTAAGAGCTTTTTGTGTTCAAGTTAAAGGCACATATTTGAATTTTATAGCAAGAGTCTATGGCTATGAAAAAACGGAAAAATTATTCTTTCGTATTAAAGCCAATATGAATAAGCAAGAAAGTTAAGTTCACTTTAAGGCTTAAGATTTTGATACTCATCAACTTAACTAAATTCAGTTGAAATAATTTCGTTGAACGTAGCTGTGACAGTTGGCCCATTTAGAGTACACATGGCTATGCTTGGAACTAATTCTACAATATATTTGCGCTAAGTTTCACATAAGTGCTTCTTAAGAACTTTAAGTTTCATGTTTTTTGGTAAAGAAGTCATCTACCATTCCATCAGTATATCTGTTGAAAGTTTTCGGATAAAATGTTATGTATTTTGTAACTGGAATTACGGACTGAAATGATTTTGAAACTTTACTTGTGACCCTCAGTGACTAATTCGCAATATTATTAATCAAGAATACATATAAATGATTGAAATTTAGGCGTGCACATCTAAGCGTTGCAAACGCAGAGATAAATCTAATAAACCTCCACCCTGTATACATGTAGAACTTATTGCAACAAAACAAAATTATGTGCATGCATTTTACCTTTACGGATACAGTTGCTGCTGCTGTTAGATGAAGAGATAGTTGAAAGTTTTAATCTATTATATAATCCCAAGAAAATGTGCTTACGCACGTTGCAACCGGTTGCTGCTGCTAAGGTGTAAAGAAAACTGCAATCCAAATTGTTTTGTTAGTGTATGCGTGTGCGTGTGCGTGCCCGTTTTAACGCTTATAAGAGATTACGTAATGAAAAATCAGCTTCAAAAGTTAAAAACAGTAATAGCTTGATACTGATAATGAACAATAACCGTTGATATTGATAATGAAAAAAAAAAAAAATAAAAAAATATTTTAATTGAAAAATATTTGCGGTTATAATGTTTTCACTATTTATTTTGATTTATATTTATTATCGTTTATAATTCCACAGCAATTTTGTTGTAAAATTTTTGTTTTATACACAGATTGATTTCCTGTGTTCTGTCGTCGCTTCGCCTAGCATTACCATAAATTATTTCAGCACGCAATGCTTGGTTATCAGTTAAACGCACAGGTGCACTAAACTAAACCCGGACTTTCAGTAAACATAAGCGCATGCACTCACTAATACAAATAGATGTACACGAGTAAAAGAATTTCTTTTATTCATATTCATAAGCTGCAACTAAGCGTTACTTAACAATTTAGTCATGCACTATGTCTTCACAAAAAAAAACATAAATAAATAAATAAATAAATAAATAAAAAAAAAATTCTTTTTTCATAACTTTCTGATTAGAAAAAATTAACATTTTAATTCATTATCAATTCATTTTCACATTTTCAATTAATTTTCATTTATAAGATTGTCAGAATATTTAAACAAACAAAAAAAAAAGAAGAGATGACAAAGAAAGAATCGCGTTTTTACCGTTGCAGTTAATCCGTCTAAGGTATCCAACAATTAGCAACTAAATGTTAGTACATTAAGATGGATCACTTGTACCTATAACGAGCGAGCGCGTACTCAAAACAAGCCATAATTTATAAATTATGCTCTCCGATGCACAGACAATCCTATATATTGTATCTGGTGAGCGTAAAACTCAATCGAACCGGCTGTTATTCTCTTTGTACGCTCTCTGTTTATTGAAAACGTTGGAGATTCCCACTCAATTTCAATGACCGGCTTTGCTGGCTATGCTTTATGTTGTCTGCTTTTTTTAAAAATTATGTGTAGGGGTTTTTAATCTATGCGCTCTAGTACGCTTCAGTTCAGTTACTGTTTCTGTCAATGTTGCTGCTTTTGTGTGGGCTCTGCACAAGAACATTTTTACTTACTTACATCCGCTCTTATAACTTAATTATTATGTTCAAATAATGCCATCCACACATAAACACACACACACACGCACACACACACACGCAATTAAACTAATGTCAACATAATCATTTTAAACTAGCTTAAATCATTCCTTCAAGTAAAGTCTAAATGTGTAGGAGAATGTGCTTTAATCCCATCAATCTATGGTTAAGTATTTCATGCTTTTCAACCAGTTCTTCTAATATTCTTTTTCCTCTTTATTTTGTTTTGATTTCGATTCTAATTTAAAATTAATAAAAGTAGTAAACGTGTAGAGAGATACAATACAAAAAATGCAATGCTGAAGATAAACAATAACAAGTTGTAAGGATACATGGCTAACCTATACAAAAAAAGGCATAAAGATGACACTTTTCGATGAAGTTTAGTTAGGGTACAAAAGAGCATTCGAAGCAGCTAAATACACAGCAGCTTCGAATCCCGATGGAATAAAATTTTATTTACCCTCTACTGAGAGCTGATATCATCTCGTTCGTAATACACGAAAATACTTACATACCATTTGTTGAAAAAGTTGAGGACATTTCTCAATGCATGCTTTAGATAGCACCAAAACTGTCATCAACATTTGATAGAAATTTATGCTTTTGTAAATTACGGCGTCCCCAGCAATTATTGTTGGAAATTGTTGTCGGCAAATTTTCAAACCGAGTTAATTTATTAAATAAAGAGTTTCTCTTAAATTCCTCTTAAAAAACATTAAATTGCTTGTTCAGATGCATTTAGAATAATGAAGAAAACATTGACAATGACACACACCAAGGTTTACAAACCAAAGACCACGAAATGCAGCAAGGACCGTCCGTTAGATCCATCGATTTAAATTTGTGCGTCCGTCTCTCTGTCTGATGCCCATGTATTTTTGTATTAGACATATAGGCCGCAATCTTTGAAGGATTTTTGCTATGCTGACATGTTTTGGGACGAAGTCGTATCCTATTGAAAGGGTACATACAAAAAAATTCCAGTTTTTAAAATTTCTTGGCAAAAATTGTTGCGACATAGTATGTCGGCATACCAAACGAATGTGAAAAATTTGAATCAGATGCCCCAATTTTTTCAATCCCTTTCCATACAATTGTTCTTAGGGAAAATAAAAATATGCTAAAGGGGTCAAAATGTTGTAGTTAGTTTATTACATAGCATTTACATAACAATAGGATTTAATTTGTTAAATAATAAAAGCATTTTCGCGTTATTATTAATTGCATCAAATTTAAACTATTTTGGTCAACTTTCAAGATCCTCCCCAGTAATAGAATTTCCATTAAAATACGCTTTTTTACAGAAACTAAGCACGATTTTTGCTACTTTATCACGCACATATGTAGAGAATTATTTAAGGGAACCGTGTGTACGGTGTTGGATTGTGGCGCTTGCCAGTTTATAATGTTTCTGCTTGTTTTTAAAATAAAAGTTTCTCTCATGTTATGAAGAATATGTTACATTCCTGATCACCACAACTTTCAGTGTAGATTGACAACTTCCAACTTGTGTATTCTCCAAGGTTTAGGGATATTTTATTACAATTCTGTGCGGAAACTATATGGAAAAATATACTTTTAATTTGCTATGGAAGGGAATACAATTTTTCTCCTTGTTGTCCTTGACCGATAGAATATGAAGCTTAGCTACGTCCATCGAGTAAGCCATTCGTTATCGGATATTTTACAGCAGTGCTTCAGCACTAATTGCGAATATTCTTAAGTTAAAGTCATAGATGAATTTTGGAAATACATATGATGGATATTTGCCCTACGAAAAGAAAATAGGTAACGTACCGAAATTAACAAAATAAAACAAAGACATTGCTAGATAAACCAAAAAATTTTTTTTTCATAACGAGCAATGAAAACATCGCACGACATTCATATGCAAGCTGAAGCACAGACTAAAAGACGCAATTGATATACGGTATATGAAATCGTGTTTTCCTAAACTGCAGATGACAGTTGGAAACTTTTATACAAATAAATGATTCTGAGTAAAAAAGTTAAACTCATCATGTGGCCGCTTCCTAATGGCGGATGATTTCTTCAGCTTGTTATAATTGTTTACGACGATGGCAAAAAAGACAACCTTATCATTAGATTCCCAAACTTTCATCTTTCAATGAATAAAGAGATGAAAAAACAGATTCCTATGCCCTTACTGGTCAAAGATTTATCTACCTCCGCATGTCTCCAACGAATACTTTGTATGAGGAAGAAGTTTACGATTATATGAGGAGGAAATCAATTTTGTACGTCAATATCCTATGTCTTAGCGATTTTAGGAAGCCAGAAATATATGGAGTGGTGGTAAACGAGATCCCTTCTAGCGCATTATCGATCAAAACTTGTCAGTGTACCGAATTCCGTCAAAGAATCTCAAAACATGCGAACTATAAATTGAAGACGGGAACAAGTGCTGCACGATATAAAAATAAATAAAAATTGTATAACGTTACGGATATTTTATGTATATTATGTATATTTTATGTATATGTATATGTGTTTTACATGAAATTTTAATAAAAAATTCTAAAAGTTTATAAAGGCTTTGCACATTGAATTCTATCATTCATTATTCAAAGAGTATCGCCTTCACACTTGCCCTTTGTTTTTTGTTTTCATGTATAATGCGTAAGAATTAAAAAATTATGATAAAACTAAGTTATGGCTCCATTCTCAATTTAATTAACGCTCAGGCTTATCAAACAAAAGCAATTACAATTTGACATTTGCTAGCGACAATTAATTTTTCTGTGTTTTTTTTTTTTCTCTCATTTTTTTTTATTATTTAAGTTTATTGGCCTCCACATGAGATCTAAATTAAACTGGTTAGGGTAAACAGAGAACTTTATATATAAATACAATATAAATGATGTCACAAAGGTTATGAATAATAAATGGATAACATATGAGAGAATAAATATGGAGGATAACTAAATGCAATAATGGAATTGGAAATATTAAAGTAAATGAAAAACTGCGTTATGAGGGGTGAATAAAAATTAAAAAAAAATATTTCATTGTTAAGCCTTTAATAGACTGCATGGACAAAGAAATGACGAAAGAAATAAAAGAGAACCTATATGTACTTGAAGCTGAGTCATTTAAAGCACATAATCTATTAAATTGTTTCATAAGATTGTAACGCAAAATATTCCCGTCTTTGTTAATGAAAAAAATTCTAAAATTAAGCAACAAGTTTGATTTACACTCGCTAATGTTAGGTTAAGGTTAATCAACTTGGGAATGGTGGAAAAAATGAAAATTTTCATTAAAAACTTGGCTGCGCAGACACACTTAACTTTTCAAACCTTATTTGGGAAATGATTTAAAATGCCCCGTTTGCGAAACAATAGCAGCAGCTTTACCAACCTGCTGATTTAAGCTTTTTTTCTCGTTCAAGATTTGGAGGATACCATCCATCTATTGAATATATACTTTAATCTTATCCGAATATAAGCGATTTAAGTGGTACCGATATCAAATAAAGTGAAGTATTTTTGGCTTGACTTTAAAAATTTAGGAGCTTGAGTGCGTCTTTCAACATTTCGAAAGAACATCGTATTATATTCTCAAAACGTCAAGCGTTGCCGATTCTTCTACATTGGCACTAACAAAGGGTAAGGGCTGTTCTTCACTCCAACCTTTTCTCTTCTGAGAGCACGATTTAGTTTCCCATTCACCATATAGCATTTGATATGTATTCCAATGCTGCCTCATCTCGTAGTGAAAGCGAACTAGTCACAGAAAATGCTGTCATTCGCATATTTTCTGCTGCGCACAGAAAGTCCTTGCTGAAGACCGGGGAGAGGAAAAGAGAATGGACAAAGTCTTGTACATTTCTCGAAAATTTTTACCATTATTTAAGAAATCGGGGGCGTTTGGTTTCCACGCCAGCTAATTGGCGAAGAAATGAGTTTTATGACTCAATAATTGTTCCCTAAAATTATTGAAAATTTCCAGAGATAACTTCTAAAGAAAGATTTCCGCATTAAACAAAACTCGTTTTTAAAATTCACGTAACCCTCTTGAAAGTGTAGCCTTAGCACAAGATGCAATCTTAGTGAGCAAAATAGAGCTGAGTAAGAAATATAATAAATTGGAAATATTTAAACGCACATAAGAAGCAAAGTTGAAAAGTTATTACATGTGGAAGACTTGAAACTGATTAAAGATCTGGTCTTTGATTATATAACCTTTTAAGATGATGTATGTCATAATTAATAATTTAGGTGTAAATATCTGCTTCTTTATGCACCTTCGAAGTTATTTCAATATTTTCATTAACGTAAGGGGACATTTAATTTCCTCAAAACATCTAAAATATGGTAATGAATACACGTAGGCATGTATGTAAAGTGCAGATGCCTAGATGAGAAGCAACCGGCACAGAGCTGATAGCGAAGAGTCAAAAGAACGAAGTAACGTTGCAGAGAAACACGAGTCACGAGAAATAAGAGTCAGTCGTGTAGCGGAAGTTCTCGAGTCAAGTTGGAATAGTGCACAGTCGTTAAGTAGAAGTCGTCGAGTCAAGTTGTAAAGTCGTGCAGTCTTTAAACCGTTTTCGGTTACTTGTACTAATTCTTTG